CTTTCTCTTCCGTGACCCCCTTTTTAAAAACATTTTACTTTATATTGGAGTAGAGCCGATTAACAATGTTGTGATACTTTCAGCTGCACAGCAAAGCAACTCAGCCCTACATGTACACTTATCCATTCTCCCTCAAACTCCCCTTCCATCCAGGCTGCCACCCAAGGGATTAGTCTCCAAAATTTAAAAACAGCTCATGCGGCTTAAGATAGGGTTTTGTACAAGCTGAACAGTCTTTAGGAATACAAACCTCCCATGTCTTTACGATTCGCAGATACTGTGTTTTTTACAAATTGAAATTTTGGGCAGCCGTATCAAGAAAGTCTGTCGGCACCATTTTCCCAATAGCTTCTGTTTACTCTGTGTCTCTGTGTCGCATTTTGGTGATTCTAACAATATTTCAAAGTTTTTCATTCTTATTATGTTTGTTATGGTGATCCGTGATCAGTCAACTTTGATGTTACTACTGCAAAAAGATCACGACTCGCTAAAGGCTCAGTTGATGGTTAGCATTTTTTAGCAATGAAGTATTTTTTAATTAAGGTCTGTACATTTTTTTAGAAATAATACCAGTGCACACTTAATGACTACAGTAGAATGTAAACATAACTTTTATATGTACTGGAACGCCAAAAAATTTGTATGACTCACCTTATTGCAGTATTTGCTTTATCGTGGTGCTCTGGAACTGACCCCATCTCTGAGGTGTGCCTGCACTAAGTGATTTATAGGATATAACGGATTTATATATAATATGAAAGTATATTTTGTTTCTTAACCTCAGGTCATTTTTCTTCTTAAAGAGAAAGGTATAGCCTAAACAAAAATGGTGAAATACATCACAATGATCAGATTAATTAAATTAGATGCTTATCATCCTAAAATGGACAGGACATGGTAACAATGACAGATGAAATAAAGTTATTGTCAAATAGCAGGCATCCAGAAAAAATTTTTCTAAGTGGAGTTTGTGGTTAAACAAGAAATGCCGAGAGAGGAGAGAGAGAGAGTGAGAAAGAGAAAGAAAAGGAAAATATGAAACAATTCAAATTGAGTTTCTCAAGTTCGGAAGACATAAGAGTTTTCTCCTTATGGGTATATTTCAATATTGTCTCACAGTGTTAATTATGTTTCATGTTATGTTGTTTGTAGGTTATGATGCTCCATTCATGATACCATTTGAAAATGTTCAACTCTGTGCCCAAACTTTATTATCTCTTTTCAAATGCAGCACAGTTTTTCAACTTTTTCAAGTTTTGAAAATGTGGTCTTTCCCAATGATAAGTAGAGGAGAATGGGGAGGCGTTCAGTTAAGCAATTTTATTTCCAAACTGTATAGTGAAAAGCTCTCCATTGCTGGAGGAAAGTGATACAAAGCCAGCAAAGCTTACACATCAGTAGTGAAGCGTCCTTCACAGTTTCACTGCAATACGCCCCTTTAGCAAATGTACTGAAGAACCAAATGTCATTTTGCACATAATAATTGTAGTAAAAAGAACTTTTTCTCACCATCTAAGTACGAAAATTATTACCATTGTAGATAGGAAGGCAACAGTCATTAAATAAATTAAAAGCATCTTTAAAGTTTTTCCATATACATATATAATATATATTTTCAAAATTGCCATCGACTGTACAAGCATTCAGTTCTCAACTAAAACATTTACAGAAACTACTGTGGAAAGCCGAAGGGAAAGCTTGGTTTTTAGGAAAAGGGGATCATTTAAGTACCTATAAACTACATTAAAATACAATTCTCAAGGGAAAAAAGATATACAGAGAAGTCAGACTTAAACAAGGTATCGTATTTAATCTCATATTTAATCTTACACATCAGGTGTGCAAAACTATTTTTTAACCCAGGCTTGATTCAACCAAGTCAATATCCAGGCATTTCTTACTTGCTAGCACAGAGAAAAGCGAAAGACTAAAACTGAATAATGTAATTATATAAAAACTTTTTATAAGCCAGACTGATAATAGTATTGTACACATATGATTGTCTATGAAAATAATAAATGGGCATAAAGGGTTTTTTTTTTTCAGAAATGTTAAAGTAAAAAATCTTAGCTTAATGAATAAATGATCATCAGTTAATATATAGCTAGGTGAGTGTCAAAATTGATCTGGAATATTGTAGTCCTGAGATCTGGGGAGTCCAACCTTCCAGTTTAAATTCTACAACCCCAAATCCTGTAAATTGCATATTATTTACACAGGTTACAAGAAAAAACTTTGAAAATACTATATCGACATCAGCACTCCCTGAATTTGAATTCAAGAGAACAGTTACTGAAAAAAAATTCATTTTTAACTAACTGTGTGTGTGTGTCTCGTATGTAGGAATGGGGGTGGGAGGGTGGTTGGAAGAGAAAGAGGCATGATTTAGGAAATGGCAATATAAATATAATTTCCCTTCTCATTAATGCCACTTTAATATCAAGACATTTATAAAAAGTTTATATAGTAACTATATAGATACTAGTACCTAACAAATTGTGAAATAATCACTCAATTTTCTAACTATTCCATGTAAATTTTTATTAATTAAAATATTAACTCATTTATTTCAACCCCTTCAACCCCTTGAAAAGTAATCTTCCTTTACTTTGAGGGACTAAACATTTTCCCATTTAAACCGTAATATTTGCTCAATACGGTAGAAAATGATGGTTACAAGGTCACCGAGAAATAACTACTGCTCAAACTCTTTCAGTGTGTTGTAATTTTGTCATATCAATTGTTCTTAACGATAAAATATTATTTAGAGAATTTTTTTTTTTTTGGCCATTGTAGGATTTAATCTGTAACAAGTGGGCATCAATTTAAATGAAGAAAGGTAACAGACAGACATCACGATAGAAAAAGGCTGAGAAGTACAACTGGGCATTGCCAGAGGTTTTGGTTGATACATTTCTAGAAAAAACTAAATTAAGAATTTCATTTCAATCTACCAATGAAAGAAAAGTTTTCTTTATTGAAAGACACTATGACCAGGATAGGGCAGCCACACACTGCCTCACTTCTACTATATAATTTTGCTTTCAAATTTTTGACAAAATTTAGTAAAAAATAATTTCATCCCTTGGCTCATTTTGAATCTTTAACTTTATGCTACCAGAACAAAAAATGACTGGAAGAAACCATAGTAACTCCGGCACCAAGACTTAATCCATTATTTAGAACAGGTGTGTCTCATTCATGGCGTCAACACACTCTCCAGAAGTGTCAAAAACTTCTTTTCATGGTACTTTTTTAATGGGTTTCCAATAAGATAGAAATACTACTTAAACCATGGAGGATGCCATACTCACTCATAAACATCGAAGAGTAGGATGTTTTTTCCTTTGGTTTATGAATAGCTATATATGCAGTGTTTTTAAGCTCTATTGCCACCATCCATTCAAGGAAGATGTGTGTGACATAGCGAGTACTGTATTGTAAACCCAAGCTTTCGGTAGCAGAAGGGACTTCCAGCTCAACTAGTCAACCTCTTTATTTTACCAGTGAAGACACTGAAGTTAACACATGTCTTTCAGAAAGTAGATGCTCAATTAGTATTATTAAATTATGAACCACCATAGATAGCTATAGGCAGGGACAGAACAAAACCCCGTGTCTTCTGATACTTCACAGCCTCTGAAATGGCTTAGTTGACTCTAATCAGGTCAGACTGAACTGAGATAAGGATTAACCACAGATAGAATATTAGCAACAACACATGGTCTGAAAACATTTCCGTCACACACATAAAATATAGTGAGGAAAAGATTTTTGAAACAATTTCTTGAAGGCAAAAGTGTAAGAGCAGATATTTATGACAAATAGAAATGGGAAAACACCAAGAAGTGTCTATATTTGACTCCCCTTCTTGTTGGATAATTTTTAGTGAGTTTTGCTAAAATGTAGATTCCCCGTCTGAGGCAAAGGCCTTGATCCACATGAAAAAGTGCCTGGACCTGGATGTGGCTGAACAATGATATTGAACGTGTGATTGTGATTAGATTGGTCACTTAAAGAAATCTCCAATATTCCCTCCACTTCTGAGCCTCGGTATCTATTGATTACTTCATAGGAAGTAAAGGCATATCAAGAGAATTAAACATTTAACTGAATTTTTAAGTTCCATTTAAAAGAACAAATGAAAGCACTCATGGAAAATAGATATGGAAGAAGAATTACGTCCGGGTTTTTGAAAATTGGGTTGCTGGTTCCCTTTCCTGGGAGGCCATGAAATGAAAATATCAGTATTTCCAAATAAATGGCTGAGCCAAGTGGTAACTCTCTGCATATGCTTTTGGATCAGTCTATTCTTTTTGGTAAAGTTCTCATAACTGAATGGAACTTGCCAGAACATGAAATGAAAAAAAACAAGAATCCTGTGCAGACTGAATTATAAAGCCATGTTAAGCAAACCTTCCTAAAGAGGGCACAGGCCCCTGGCAATGTGCTCACATCCATCTACACAGAGCACACACTCTGCACTCAGCTAGTCACACAATGACCTGTAGAGACAAACACAGGTAAACAAGTCTCCACAAATTTTAAGATAAACATCAGAGCTGATAGGATTATTTAGCACTTGATGCATTGCTCAGGAATCTAAGGCAATAAGCCTACTTTAAGATGTGAAATGATTCTATTCTCTATGAGCAGAGATCAATGATAAGCTATTGGGTTTTTCCAATCTATTTTCAAAGCCCATTTTTACAAAAATAAATCAGTCTGTTCTCTAATAGTTCTAAAAATAGTTTGATCACTTGTCTTGCGTGATTTTTTTTTAAAGAAAGAGATGTCCATATTTTCTAAAATCTTGCTTTGAATTACATTCAGAAACAGATACAGTCCAGTTTTCCCTGGTGGAAATCATCAGTCTGTTTACTCATTCTCTTTTGACTATTAAAAAATCTTTTGAAATGAAAGGCATTGGCAGTGCAAAAAAAAAAGTCCATAAAAATAAACTAATGATTGAATTAAGCATTCAGATGAGTTCTCTGCCTGGTTATCTGCAAGCGCAAGACTCTACCGTCATGTTTGGATATACCTTAAGTACCACATTCTTATTTTCATCAAAGAATAAGATGCTGAGCGAGGACATCTTTTCTGGCACACAGCAAGGCTCAGGAATCCCAGGAACGACGCCCACAGCTCTCACTATACTCTGGATGGTAGCATGATTTGATGGCTTCAAAGACTGGAAAAGAAAAGGGAGAACACCAATTAGGTGGAACTGCTTTTCCGCTCTCCAGCCCTCATCGCTAAAACGTATATATTATGCATCTGTTTCAACAGCTTACTAAAGCCCTGGCATCATTACACATTCAACCCAACCTCCAATATCACCATCACCAAAACGGTGATTTGTCATTTACTAGGTGCCGGCTCAGTGCCAGGCATGTTCTGTGTAATATTTCTAATCCTTACAACAAAACAGCCATCTCATACATTTTACAGGTAGAGACATAGACTCAGAAAGCTTAAACGACATGTCTAAAGTCATGTAGACATGTAGAGTGAGGATTTTAATCCAGTTTTTAAAGCAAGAATCGTTTGATTAAAAATGACTTACTCCCCAGAGAATTAATACACCCTAGGTTGTTCTGGATTGCAACGGAAACAATTTGATCTTGATCCTATGCTAATCATAAAGAACCCTTAACAAGAACCTATTTAACATAGATATTTTTGCCACTGCTATAGTGAAATTTATACTTTGTTTTAAAAATAACACCAGCGTGCCGAGAGGCATTGATTTATTTAATGATTACCACCAGGATGAATTGTTGGTGATTACACAATTGGCCACTGGGGGTCACTGTTGCTCAATGGGTTCAGACTTAAAGGTTGTAGCGTCTTCTAAGTCTGGGGCATATCCTCAGGGAATAATCTAGAGGGCCTGAGGTTATCCCATGGCTGTCAGAAGTTTGACCAAAGAAACCTGGGTAAAAGCTGCTCCCCAGAAATGCCAAATGGGATCATTAACATCCACGGGAGACGTGTGGTTTTATCTAGAGAGTATCATCCAGCTCTGCTAAGCATTGAAGACTGGTCACTCTTCCAAGCCCAGAATGCTTAGGTATTGCTAGAGTGGTAAGAACTTTTTCATGAGCGGTGCCACAATTTTCAACATTAGTTCTCCCCAATGTCTCTTTTAAGCAGATGAAACCAGTTCTGTTTCAAACAAATTTAAAAACAGGAATTTGGTAACTTGCCAGGGATCATGTGTCAATTCAGGTGTGGGATTTAGGCCAAAACTCTGGTTTTCTAATGTCAAGATTTTGAGCCATGTTTCAGAGGCACCTCCGCCCCCAGTGAATTAATTGGTATTCTAATTTTACACACCTAAAACTCCCAGTATGGGAAACTGGAACAAGTTAAAAGGTTACGAGTATATACAAGCCAAGGAAAAAGCAAATAATATAGAAAGCTGGCACAGTGTAAAAAAAATAGGATTGGGGGGAGGGGGGCAGAAAAAGGGCAAATCTGATTTGTCTCATCTCATCTTTCAATCTTAGTGAAAAAAATTATCCATACATTAGACTTCAACATTATTGCTAACAGGCATAAATTATTTTAAAATTACTCTGATGATGGCCAGCTGCCTTATTTACTCTTCCTAGAGATTTTAAGTGTATGTTAAGAAGAGTAGTTAACTTACAATTAAGTAGCATTGCAAAGAAAGGTATTCTCTCCCCTTAAGGATAAGAAGTCTATGTTGCTCTATTTTGCATATCATGTGCCCTGTGGCAACAATAGTATCTGTGTAACTGACAAACTGCAATCCATATTGTACAACAGGGCTCAATGGCCACTGTTTGCTCTTTCATTAGTATTGGTGATTTCTAAAGAAAACTTTTGCAGCTACACTTTTCTCTATTAATTTATTTTTAAGATTCAATCATCCAAACAGCATATGATAATGCCCCAAAGGATTTTTTAAAAACCATAGATTTTATGACAATATTCTGTTATTGTTAATGTTTTACTGACTCCTATACTATTTAATTTTCATATAAAGTAGATCTATTTAAGTAGATGAGGCCTTGATCCATAAATCCTGCTGTGCACGGCTGGTCCTCAGTGCCTGAAGCAGAGCAGGCTCTCTAGGCACTGAATTAATACTTGCCAAATGGATGAAATACTTATAAATAATAACATACCTTCCACTGTACCTATTTCTGTGGAAATAATTCCCATCAACAAAAATGAAAGGTTCTGAGCAAATGACCTGGCACAGATATGGAAAATATTCATGGGTGTTCCCTAGGAAAATTCCTGTCTTTTTTTTTTTAAGCTCGAACTCACAAATGATAGATTCAGGAACTATGAGCTGTCTCTCTGGTGGGCTCACTGGAATCCAGGTGCAAGCCCTTGATTCCCTGCTTGTGTGTATTATCAGCAACCTCTCAGTTTTCGAGGGAGTTGTCCCCTTTTTTCTCACTGTGAAGTTCTTTGATCAAGCTGCCATGACCAGGAATAATTATATCATGCACAAAAGATCCATGCGGTCATTTGCTAGTGTGGAGCATTTGCCAGTTTATCATTTTTGTTTGTTTTTGAGTTCCGATTACATTTCTCAGGACCCTCTTTACGTAGCTTAAGAAATGCAAACCTGTGTTGTTTTTCTCCCCAGTCTCCCTTTTTATTGAAGGTGAAACATGACATCGACATCTGTTTAGGTCATTTTTTTTCTTTTGCTTAGGTAACTCGGTCATCAAGATTTAGGATTTTTAGAGTTCATCTTCATGATCAGAGATTGGAACTGGAAACCTCAGGAAATTAATTGAGGGCGCATCATTTTGACCTCATCCATGTGAATTTCTTCTTTATATAGGATGCTTGGTTCAAAGTGTTTAGCTTCCTTGCTCCCTAATTCTGTGTCTTTGCTATTCCCAGCCTTAGCACCATTCCATGAAAAAAGTCCTTCACTCCTCCAATCCTTGCTGGTTCCCTTGGACCTCTGTCAGCAACAATGGCTCAATCATTTTCATCTGAAATCTCTGTTTTCCATCTCTTTTACAGTGGTGAGAGGAGGCAAAAGCATACGGCTTGGCTAAAGCTACATGGGTATTTCTCATCTCATGGCAGAATGCCAGGGGTCTCTCTCCCTGGGAGGACAGATTGGGTGTAGGGGCTAGAAATCAGAAAAATTCAAGCTGCCGTGTCTGTGAATGAAATCTGCAGTGGTCAGGCCCGCACCTGCCAAGCTGTGGATGATGTCCTCGAGTTGAATCTGATTACAAATGCGTTAGCAGGGGAGAGTATGTCATCAGCTCCAAGCCTTCATTCCTGACTCAGGCCATGGGGTTTTGCTCCACACTCTTCCAGCCCACAGGGGTGTGATAGCCCAGAAACTATCTAATTGGAATCAGTGAAAGGGCAAAGCCTGGAATTTGGGAAAGGCAGAACACAGCTGTTCTGAATTACAGACAGGTTGTCAACTTTTGCAGACAAAGAACCCGCTCTAGAGAGCAGGCTCTCACTCAGGAGGCCAGAAGGAAGGAGGGCCAGCAGAGGAGTCTGGCCTGGGAGAAATTTTCTCTGGGGCAAAATGTATATCTACAGTCTGAAAGTTCTTTGGCACCTCACTTATTCCACATGTGTTTGTACTGATCTGGTCAGAGACCTTGTTTTCCTCTGTTGCTCAGACTATATTTTTACTTAAATAGTTTACTCTGCTTACCATGCTGGTCACTGCATAACAGCAACACTGATTAGTTACCCCTGACGTCACTGCTTCACGCTTCCCATCCTTTAGGTGACTGTACCATTTGAAAGACACAAAGCCTGGAACACTTAAAGGGAATCACCAGAAAGCTTGAAAAGCAGATCCACACAAGGTGATGAGAGACTGAGAACTCCACATCACAGCCAAACTTCTACTCTCAACTTGGCAGAAGGAAATCTCCAACTCAGAGAGAAAACACCGTTATCCCTGTTAACTCTCCCTGCAGTTCTGATGCCATCTCAAGTTTTGACAAATATTATCATGAGTTCAGTGCTGCAACCAATGCCCTCCTGATTCTATTACCCTCCAAAGAGGTTATGGACTGTTAGACTGAAGGGAGAATCCAGTTTGAAGTTTTATGATGTTTAAAAAGGGGTAAGAAACATATATAAAACTTTTTCTTGTCTTACGTCTTTTATTCTTTTGATCCCTTTTCCTAAGTGGTTTTTCTTCAGCCCCCTACATTTGATTTTCTATTCTCCTCAGTCCATTGGCCATTAATACAACAACAATAATAAACAATGGCCACGAATAATCATGTCAATGGCAAAAATTTGTTGAGTGCCTACTAAGCACAAGGTGCTCTATGATCTCATTTTCCCACTGTTTTCATTATGTAGATACTATGATATTTTTATTTACTGTGGTACCTCTTTCAAAGATGAGAAACCTAACATACAGAAAGTTTGAGTAACTCCCCCCAGCCAAAAAAAAAAAAGAAACACAAAGCTGGTAAGAGGTGGAACCAAGTTTTAAGGCAAAAGGATTTGACGACTCAAAGTGCGATGTGTGGACCAGTAGTATCGGCAACATCTAGGGGCTTGTGAGATATGCAGAATATTAGGCTCGACCCTCAGAACCACTGGATCAGAACCTACAGATTAACAAGATCCTGAGGCAAATTGCAGGCATCTTAAGGTTAAGAAAGCCAACTATGGTCGAGCATGTACATTTAATCATTCTGTTGCACTACCACACTTCTTTCCTTAAACTTATCTCTTCTATTCTTAACTTAACCCTCGTAAGTTTTTGAATTATTATTCTTTAGATCACTGAGAGCCACGATGAAGATCTATGGAAGCAAGTTTTTTGAACAGGAAAAGCAAGAGGAGCCGACAGGAAATGGGAGAGGCAAACTGGGGTAATGTGGAGACCAGGCCAGGTAAGCCAACTGACTAAGTATCTCCACGTTATCATGACTCCCTGGGTCTTAAAATCTGGAGTCAAGAAGAAAGAGGGAAACTCCTTCCCCAGGCTACCTAGAAGAAACCACAGTTTATGAGAGTGAGAGGGATTATTTGGAAGACTCAGAGACCCACTTAAAATCAGTCATCCCAGGTTTAGAGACAGTTTGAATCCATTTCTACCTCTCAATGCCACAAAGCAAGCCACACTGTAAAATAAAGATTCATCACTGCTTGTTATATTTGGCATCTTTGTTGTGTGTTTTAAATGCTATCCCAGTTTGACCAAGTTTCGTTTGATCAGTAAAATGTCCTTTATAAATATTTAGACAAGATAAGGCAGTTTATGTCATTATAAATGTATGTAATGCTTACTTTGTGTTTGTGTTGACAAAACATGGAATTCCCAAGGTCTAGAAAATGTAGAAAGCTCATCCTCCTGAGACATGGTAACAGGAAAATGGGATTTCAGTCAAGGTCCTGGCCCTGAGTCTGACCTGGACTTGTTCAGTTGGCCCTTTGCTTTATGGGTGTGTTGCCCTTAGCATCCCAATGATCACAGGCCTGTAACATGAACAAGCTGCTTTAAAGATCTGTAAGCAGAAGTTGGTCACTTTTTGAGGCAAAGGGTTTTTTTCCTCCATCAACATACAATAGCAGAAGTTGATTCACTTCAAGTTTTGCAGCAAACAAACAAACAAAAACAAAACAGAACAAAACAACACTCTTCCTCTGAATTCTATTTCTAGGAACACTTTTCATTGTATAATTCAAATTGTTACAAGCTAAGAATGAAAGTGCAGCAATAAGCTTAAGGGAAGGCAAAGGGGTACAAATATGTTTTATTAACTCTAAATTCAAAGAGAACAGTCGCTTGGACTTGCTGTGCAAGATGGAGGTGGGGTTGGGAAGGCTTCTGAGAATATATGTGTCAGGATTCTGAGTACTGATAGGATGAAGTTCAGTCCATTGATTTTGGAAGAGGCACAGGTAAGCTCTGACTGGTTGAAATGGGTCTTAGAAGTCTACAGAGTCATTGTTCCCTATTCTGACTCCTGTTCTGATATGTATCAGAGAAGCAAATGATATAAGCATCTGGTGGATTTCATGAGGTAAGTTTTCCTAGCGCAACCCTGGTCCTAAGCCCCATGATGACAATTCATCGCACAAGAGACTATCAAAAAATGTTCTGGGAGCTTCCCTGGTGGCGCAGTGGTTGAGAGTCCGCCTGCCGGTGCAGGGGACGCGGGTTCGTGCCCCGGTCCGGGAGGATCCCACATGCCGCGGAGCGGCTGGGCCCGTGGGCCATGGCCGCTGGGCCTGCGCGTCCGGAGCCTGTGCCCCGCATCGGGAGAGGCCACAACAGTGAGAGGCCCGCGTGCCGCAAAAGAAAAAAAAAAAATGTTCTGAATCAGGGCATCAGTCCAATTAGTCCTTCCTTTTGCTCTCATGACATTCACTCATTCCCTGAATACCCCCTCAAAGATCAGCCTTCTACCATTTGGGGCTTGCTTGTTGTGGACCGGCACAGACTCACATGTGACCAGGTAGCTGAATATGCACTATGTTTGGAAACAATGCAAAAAACATGTTTTACACATACATTTTTTTTCTCATATCTTTCTTCATACCAATATTGACTTCATATTACTTTAACAACCGTTAAAGAAAAACCAAGCATAACCATGTTACCTATTACACTTTAGAATGCAAGAATAAAGGTCCAGATGGATTTTGTAAATGAAAACACACACTCAACTTGTGCCTTTCTACTCTGTGGAAATAGGAAGGACAGGACAAAGAACAATGGCTACCTTTGGCATGGGGAACTGGCATGCTCCGGAGCAATAATAGGCATCAAAGGACTTGGGGGAGATAATCCATTCACTCCAGCCAATATCTGCAAAGTCCACTTTAAGGTACCGCCTGGCACAATTGCGAGGTTCAATCCATTGCTTCCTTCTGGCCTTCCTCAGGGTCTGTTCATCAAACTGGAGTGTCTGGCTCTTCTGGTGAGGTCCCTTTCTCTGTTTCTTTTTGTTCTTACTCTTTTCAGGGGGCTGAGTCTGAAGAGTCTTGTAAGGTTTTCTCTCCTCCCATACCCCATCCTCCTTATACTGATATTCTGCCCCAGGAAGCTCATTGTTCTGCAGAGGCAGCAGGACCCCAGCAGAGCGCTTCTTCCTCCGTTCAGTAGAAAGGGCAGCCCTGATATGGCTATCCAGTTTGGGCACAGCTCCAGTGGGGAAATTCCGGTGTCCTTGCAAGCTTGATACCGCACTCTCAGGCTCAGAAATCGCAATATCATTGGCATACACCAAGATATAAGGCTCAGGAAAGGGTGTTATCTTCTTTGGCAGCTGGTGGCCTTTGGAAGTAATGTTAAATCCTATGAGGAACTCCTCATTTTCCTTGGCTTTCCTCAAAAGTTGAGTGATGTCTTTAGACAGCCAGGAAACAAAATCTCGATGAAGTTTCGCTACATCTACTGAAAGATGACCCAGGAGTTGACTTTGGTTTCCGGTGGATTTGAGGATCCACGTAGAGAGCTCAATCTGAATGTGTTTCCTCTGGGAATGATGTGAGCATCCTTGGGACACAGGACAACTCAGGCTGATATTTATTAGCTCTCCAATATAGAAATACAGTGTGGCAGATAAAATGTTTTCAGACTTGGTTAGAGAAGTCAGGTTAAAAATATGCAGTCTCTCATTTTCAAGGGTTCCTAGGAAGAAAAAAAAAAAAAAAAGAAAGTAAACAGGAGTAAACGTGACCCCTACCTCACATCATATAAAAAAATTAACTCAAAATGAACGAATGACCTAAATATAAGCACTAAAATCATGAAATTCTTAGAAGAAAACATAGGGGTAAAATCTTCATGGCTTTGGATTTGACAGTGGATTTTTATATATGACACCCAAAGTGCAAGTAAGAAAAGAAAATAACACATAAATCAAAAAAGTAGATAAATCCATAAAATAGATAAACTGGACTCCATCAAAACTTAAAATTATGTGCATCAAAAGACATTATCGGGCTTCCCTGGTGGCGCAGTGGTTGAGAGTCCGCCTGCCGATGCAGGGGACACGGGTTCGTGCCCCAGTCTGGGAAGATCCCACAGGCCGCGGAGCGGCTGGGCCCGTGAGCCATGGCCACTGAGCCTGCGCGTCTAGAGCCTGTGCTCCTCAATGGGAGGGACCACAGCAGTGAGAGGCCCGCGTACAGCAAAAAAAAAAAAAAAAAAAAAAAAAAAAAAAAAAAAAAAAAAAAGACATTATCAAGAAAGTCTGTACAACTTACAGAATGGAGAAAATATTTTCAAATCATATATATGATAAAATCTAGGACCCAGAATATAAAAATAGCCCTTACAACTCAAAACAAAAAGATAAACAAACCAATAAAAAATGAGCAAAGGAATCAAATAGACATTTCTCCAAAGAAGATATACAAATAGCCGACAAGCACATGAAGAGATACTCAACATTATTAGTCATCAGAAAAATGTAAATCAAAACCAAAATCAGGTACCATTTGGCATATACTAGACTGGCTATAATAAGAAAAACAAGATAACAAGTGTTAGTGAGGATGTGGAGAAATTGGAACACTTTTACATTGCTGGCTATAATGTACAATAGTTCAGCTGCTGTGGAAAACAGTTTGACAATTCCTCAAAGTTAAACATAGAAATATCACATGACCTCGCAATTCTACCCCAGGTATAAACCCAAAAGAATTGAAAACAGGTGTTCAAACAAGTACACGTACATGCACGTTTATAGCAGCACTACTCTTCACAATAGCCAAAAGGTAGAAACAACTCAATGTCCATCAATGGGCAGATGGATAAATAAATGTTGTATAGTCATATAATGGAACATTATTCAGCCATAAAAAGGAATGAGGGACTGATAATACTACAATGTGGATGAACCCTGAGAACATTGTGCTAAATGAAAGAAGTCAGACCCATGTTGTACGATTCCATTTACGTGAAATGTCCAAAACGGGTAAATCCATAGAGACAGAATGCAGACCAGTGTTTGCCAGGGGCTGAATGTGGAGAAATTGCTTAATGGGTAGGGATTATAGAAATATTTTGGAACTAGATAAACCTGGTGGTTGCACAACACTGTGAAGGTACCAAATGCCCCTGAGTTGTTCACTTAAAAATAGCTATACTTTGGGCTTCCCTGGTGGTGCAGTGGTTGGGAGTCCGCCTGCCGATGTAGGGGACATGGGTTCATGCCCCGGTCTGGGGGGATCCCGCGTTCCGCGGAGCGGCTGGGCCCGTGAGCCATGGCCGCTGAGCCTGCGTGTCCGGAGCCTGTGCTCCGCAACAGGAGAGGCCACAACAGTAAGAGGCCCACGTACCGCAAAAAAAGGCTATACTTAAATTATGTAATTTTCACCACAATTAAACAAAAGGAGTAATTTTATAAACTGGATGAAGATTAAGGCAAGGATCAGCCATTTTTACTAATTTTCTCTTTCCTTTACTGAAACACACTTTTTTTTTTTTTTTTTTCCTTGCGTTATGCGGGCCTCTCACTGCTGTGGCCTCTCCCATTTGCGGAGCACAGGCTCCGGACGCGCAGGCCCAGCGGCCATGGCTCACGGGCCCAGCCGCTCCGCGGCATGTGGGATCCTCCCGAAACGGGGCACGAACCCGCGTCTCCTGCATCGGCAGGCGGACTCTCAAGCACTGCGCCACCAGGGAAGCCCTGAAACACACTTTTAAACGTAGTGGTATGAGAGCTGAGAGTTCTGGCTTTTAATTATGAGACTGCCAAGAACTATTCCTATAATTTCGGCACAGTGTCATGATAGCATCTTATCTGAAGCAGCGTCTAGCCTACTGGTTACAAGCACTGGTGGAAGTAAATTCACTTTGATTCAAATCCTGGCTCAGCCACTTATTAACTATGTAACTATGTAACTCAGCCACTTATTAACTACGTAACTAGTGTTCTCATTCATTAAATGGAATAATACTCCTGTCATCAGAATTAAATGAGACGTGTGTAAATCAGTTCATAAAGGGTCCAGTAAGTGTTTCTTAAGTATAAATTATTATGTTGTTCGTGCTGGTGTTAACCATAATACAGGAATTACCCCTTCTTCTATCTTCCTCACAAAGTTAAGGGTGCAGGATGAGGGTGGGTAAGGAAGACCATATAGCTCCATCTTCAGATAACATCTGAGAAATGAGTCACACAGTCAAAAGTGCTGTTGTGGAGCTTGTCTAAAGTTTATGTAATTACATGAATATAAGAGCTGAATTGCTTCTGTAGAGTGCGTCAGAATTATTGAAACTGGGCAACGTGTATTTCCAAGTCTTCAGATGCAGAAATGAGAGTGAGTAACAGAATGGGCGATTGATTAGTAAGGGCAGAAATTGGTTCCTGTTCCTGAGATCATCTAATGAGCTAATGGTAAGGCTGAGCTTAGGCTCAAGAATCCTCTGTCCTGGGATCGGTCACCAGGGCCTGGGCCCTTCTCCATACACTTGTTTCATATACATATTTGTTTCAGAAACATACACGCAACCGTGAAATTATGCTCTTGATCAAAAACATATTTTAGTAAAAACAAAACATTTTTATAAAGATCTGGAAACTTAAAATGAGTTCATTGAGTCCCCATTTATAAGGAAAGTGCAGTGGGAAACATATTTTACTCATTTCTAACATTGTGTGAGGGAAAAGGAGTAAACTGCCATTTGTGAATGTTTGTATAATCCATGACACCAGGATAATATTTTACAGACCTTTATAACAAAGCCATGGCATCAGGCTTGTTCAGACTCTAGCTTTAATTCATACTTTTAATTTATACATTCAAAGAGCATGTACTTTTACCCAGATGGAAGTTTTAAATGGAAGGAAGAGAAGTCACACTGTTCTAAGTATGTGGCAATCAGATGGTTGCCAAAGGAACACACTGGCAGGGAAGAAATGAACTCCACGGGATGTGGGTGATGGTGTCTTATTGGGGAAACCAATCCTACTCCTTTTCACCTACATTTTGCTTCAAAATATTTCCTTCTTTCACACATGTTTCCAGATACCTTGTGCCCTGCTGTTAACCAGCCTTCACCTTGTGTCTAATCTTCAGTATCGTCTCATAAATGTCACAGAACTCGCCATACTGCCTCTTCTGAGGGCTTTAATTTTAATTCAGTGCCTTCGTTTGAAGTCAAAGCCCTATGACCCGGGCTTCCCTGGTGGCGCAGTGGTTGAGAGTCCGCCTGCCGATGCAGGGGATACGGGTTCGTGCCCCGGTCTGGGAAGATCCCACATGCCGTGGAGCGGCTGGGCCGGTGAGCCTGGGCCGCTGGGCCTGCTCGTCCGGAGCCTGTGCTCCGCAATGGGAGGGGCCACAACAGTGAGAGGCCCACATACCGCAAAAAAAAAAAAAAAAAAAAAAAAAAAAGCCCTATGACCCTGCCTCAGCTCCACCACAGCCAATAGCTGTACTCAGGCAAATTACCTAAACTCTTCAAGTCTCAGTTTGCTCACCTGTAAAATGAACCCAATAGTATCAACGGCAGAGTTGTTGTGAGAATTAATTGAAGGAATTCAGGTAATGCACATAGCCCTTAGGAAAAAACTCAATGAATGTTAGCTAACTAGACCTGCAATGTCCACTATGATAGCAACTAGTCACTTAAGTTTGAATTGAGATGTGCCGTAAGTGTAAAATACACACTGTATTTCGAAGCCTTAGTATAAAATATCACATTAATATATTTTATATTGATTACATGTTGAAATCATAACGTTTGGATACACTGGGTTAAATGTTGTGATACTGTGATTTATAATAAGAAATACACATTTGGTCTTGGTCTCCGTTTCTGGTCTAGAACTCCGAAAACTCTAGGAATTTCCTAAGTGATGAGAGCCATAAGTTGTCCTTTGTTATGTTAATGAGGTGACTTTTGGAGGTCACCTAAGAATGGGGTCTGGCTGCCTGGGAACCAACCCTGTGATTGGGGGTTTGCACTTTCAGCTCTAACGCCCACCTCTGGGGTGGGGAGAGGGGCTGAGGGTTGAATTAATCACCAATGGCCAATGATTTAATCAGCCATGCCTACATAATGAAGCTGTAACAGGGAAGAGCCAAATGTGACTACATACTGGATCTGTTTCTTTTACTTTAACCTTTGCTTTCTGCTGCTTTTGTTCACCAAAAGGATACTGTCTATACATAATGGCCTGCCTCAGGGAACCCTGCCCCTCTGCCTGAATGTTAAACTAAAGTGCCTTTGTTCAGGCAAGCATCCAGACCCTGTCCACCTGAGGATGGCTGCAAGAAAGAAGAAATTAACACACCCCCTCCCCGAGTCTGGCCATTCCAGGGGATATTTGCAAAACTTATGGCCTTTTTACTTTACTTCCTTTTCTCCTACCCCTCTCTGTGCTATAAAAGAAACGGGCATCCAAACCCTGATAAGATAGTTTTTCAGAGACACTAGTCTGCCATTTTCTTGGCTTTCCAATCCAATATTTTGTCCTGTCCTGTGGCGAGCAGAGCGAACTTGGACTCGGTAACAAAGCCTCCATAAAAATTTTAAAAAACAAGGTTTGGAGAGCTTCTGGGTTGGTGAACAAAACGGAGATTGGGGAGAGTGGAATGCCTAGAGAGGGCATGGAATCTCCAAGCCCTTTCCCCTACCTTGCCCTCTGCATCTCTTTTATCTGGCTGTTCCTGAGT